TATATCTTATTTTTTTTTAATTCTATTTAATTTTATTCTAGTCCATTTTGTCTTATTTTGTCATGAGGTTTTATACTGCTATAGATTAGAACGATCTTAGACTCTCAAAGTAGGTCAATCTTATGCCAATACACCTCAAATATTGTTTTAGAATTAGATTCACTCATTCTGTTTCTTCATGACTTTAATGATGAAGAAGCCAAAGAAAGCTTTATATCTACCTTTAAAATCTTAAAAATGATTTTTTAAAATCTTGATATAAATTGAGTCTTTCTATCCAATATAATATCCTTCGATAATCCATAATAGCTATAAATATTGTTAAAAAAAACTTAATCATTTTTTTACTTGTAATAAATTTTTTATATGGTATAAAAAATTCCATCTCGATAAAAAATCTACTATCTCAAATATAAAATTATATGAACCTAAGACAGAAATCTCCATGATAAAATCCATAGAAAAAAAAATTTATAATTATTTTGGAATAGGTAATGGCTAAAAAAATCCATAAGATCAATGACAAGGAATTTTGAATCTTGAACAAATATCACATGATTGTACAAAGTCTTTGACTACCTTCTATATTTGAGGCCACTAAAAATCTCTTAAAATTAATTTCAAAGTCTTGTTATATCCAAAATGTCTAACTATTGAAAAGTCATGATAAGCTTGAAGAACATATATTCGTGCTTCATCTTTTAAAATGTATAATCATCCCTCAAAATAGAATAGATTATTTTAAACTTTGAATTTGAAAAAGATATGAGATTTGAAATAATTATTCTTAATATCATAAATAAGAAAATCAAAGGTCATACTTAATTGAATTAGCTTGAAAAAGATTGAATCAATAGTCAATATTGATTTTACCACTTAGAGGTCAAAATTGTTGTATTTCTACTTATCTTCTACAATTAGATACTTGGTGCATTCTAAAGCAAGAACACACATAATACAATAATGGTGATTGGACTCAAGGTGTCTTTAGATAATAATGACATTCTTAAAATAAATCCATGATTGCAAGAAGCTCTTAATTATGGATCTCATAGTTAATCTTGAATGCTGAAAATTTCTTAGAATAAAATGTTACTAAAAGGAAATTGTCATCTATTCCCATTTATGTCAAAACAACATCCATAGCAAAGTTTGATGCATTTATTTCCATGAAGAATGCCTTAAAAATTTTCTTTGATACAAAATTCGAGCAAAAATAAATGTTGTTTTTAAAACTTCATAAGATGCTTCAACTTTTTTACTCCACTCAAGTTTGTCTTTACATATTAGATATATAAGAAGAAGTGCAATTTGAAAAAATTTCTTGATAAAGATCTTATAAAAATTGAGAAATTTCAAAAAATATTATAAATTCTAATTATTTTTGGAATCTTTAATCTATAATAGTTTGGACCTTCTTTGGATCCATTTTAAGACCATTGTTTGAAATCATTGTGAGAATAAAATTCACTCTTCAACTCAATTACAAGATGGCATCAATTAAGAGCTACTTATATTTGGTGGTAAGAAGTGGAAGTAGTAAGAACAAGAACAAAAGAAGAAAAATACAAAAACAAATGAAATAAGTACAATCAAGCAATTGTATACTACAAAACTAGTTACAATCTGTTCATTGAATTTTTACCTAGTAAAAAATAAAAAATAAAAATAAAAATATATTTTTATATTGGTAATTTTTTATCTTTTTAATGGTATAAGAAAATTATAAATCCAATTTATTATGAATAAGTTTTGAAGGTTTAAAAATAATAAATAAAAAAATTAAGTAAATAATTTTTACTTCAAGGATAACTTGCTTAAGAGATCAAGAGTTTGAGCCTCACAAAGGCTCACAAGTAGTGTATATGGATATCTAAGAGAGGCCAAAAGGCCTTAGTCTTATCCTCCTAACTACCTTCAAGGTGCTACAATCTATATGGAACTTGTGCACTTTCTTTCTTATAAGAACTACATTAGCTATTGGTCCTCCTATTTTCTATTAGTAAAACCAATAATTTTGCATTTTTGACTTCACTATGGTATTTAAAAATATCCAATTAGCTTAGAAATCTTTTGAAAAATGGAGCCTTCAAATCTTGCTCCATTTTTTTCATAATAACTCTTGAAGTGATAAAATTCATTTGGTCTTAAAAATTATTCTAAAAATTCCTAAACAATTCAAAATAAATTCTTAAAAATTCCTATAATGGTTCTATAATGCTAATATCAGTTTAAAAGTATAATTTTTTATCTTTATTATTTTTTATAATAATAAAATTAATTTAAATCCATTATAAATCTTACTTTTTATATAAATAAATAAAAATACATGAGGTTCTTTTTCATGATTCTTCCAACTAATAACTAATATTTATAGTTTTTCTATAATTAATATATATAGATAGAAGACCAATAAAAATATTAAATTTAGTGAATAACCTTCAATATTTAATAATAAGTAAAAAATATTAAATCAACTAAGATAATTGCTTCCAAGACTTACTAAGACTATAATTCTACAATTAACATTCTAATTTTTTATTTGTATAAGATTTCTTTACTATTCACCATATATTGTGGTTCTAAATACTCTAAATATATCTTTTTATCCTAAAACAACTAGTGAGTTGATTTAATGACTCTCAATGATGTATCCTAAAATTTCAACTTGAGTAGTGTAAAATACACTTTTCCATCTTGCACCTTTTAGTTTTTGTAATACACAACAAACATGAATTTTATGCTTTTCTATGTTCTTAAAGTAGATTAAGATATTATCTAAATAATAGAAAACAAAAACTTCAAGAAGACATCATTCATTAGTTAATGCATTTTTAAGTCTAAAAGATATGATATTAAATTCAAAATGTCCATATTGAGTTCAAAATACAATTTCCATTCATCTCTTTTTTTAATGTACATTAGATTGTATGTTCCTTGTAGATCTATTTTTGTATAGTTCTTTACTTAATTAAATTGATTAAGAAGTCTTAAAATCAAATGTAAAAGATATTCATTCTTGATGGTTATCTTATTGAATCCTCAATAGCCCACACATATTTGTAGAGATTTGTCTTTTTTCTTCACAAGTAAAATAAGAGCCCCGGTTAGAGATTTTGAATGGTATATGAATTTTTCAGCCAAATTCTCATCAATATATTTTTTAAATAGAGCCAAGTTATTTTGTAATAGATTATAGATTAGTCTAAATGGTAATTGAGTTCTTTCGTAAAGATCAACCAAATAATTATAGTGACAATTTTTTAGAAGAATATCTATATTTTTTTTCAAAAATATCTTGATAAACTTGATATTAGTTTAGAATGCCATTTGAGATCTTTTTTTCATCAACAATAAGTGTGGCATATATAGCAAAAGTTGAGCCTTGTTTTGCAACTTGTATAAAAGCTCTTATATCTACAAATAATGATTTGGATGTATTGGTCTTTTTGGCTTCTTCTTGTTTAACAAAAACTTTGGCTAAACTATGGAAAAATTCAAAGTTATAAGAAATCTAATCTATTTTAAAATAATACTTATTTAGGTACAATAATCGTAAAATAATTGTATTAAAAAAATATCTAATCACATTAAATATTACTAAAATATTATGACGACTAATAGTTATATCTAAAAGAATAATTTTATATATAATATCTTTAGAAGATAAAAAATAACCATCTATTACTTTTATATGTATAAGTTTGATTTTCTTAACTAAATATGTATCTTGTTTTTTGACAAAGTCTTTGTCAATAAAAACAAGTTGTAGCTCCTAAATCTAATAAAGCTAAAACTTTGTGATTTTTTGATCCTAAACAAACTTCTATTATAAAACAAGATGAAGGATTTGAAGAGACAATAAGATCTTTACTAGGTATTATGAAAGTTCCCAACTATACGGTGTTATATAATAACATGGTCATTAAGTGAAAGATAAAAAATATTTTACTATAAAAGAGCCTAAATAATAATATATAATAAAAAAATATAGATAAATAATACATAAGTAGTAAAATCTATTATTATTAGAACTATTTTTTATAAAAATAGATTTTATTTATTTTTTAAAGCTATAAATAAAGAAAAATAAGACAAATTAGATAAATAATAAATATAGTTATATATAAAAAAAATTAAGAATTAATTTTGATATAAATTACCTCAAAAAATACAAGAATTGGTACCAAGAAAGAATTAATTACCAACCAAGGTCAAAATCAAACCTTAAAGCACAAAGTTGAGCACCTATAGTAATTTTGGAGTTTTTTATATACTATCTAATTAAGAACTACATGACAATATTCTATAGGACCTCCAACACATGTTGATTTTGCAAGACACATGTCTTAATTTGTAAAGCAAGTTTTTTATATGTACACCACATAGTTAACTTATTCTACAAGCTACCAATACGTGTGGCACATGGTTAACTTGTTGACCAAGTTTCTAACTTATCAATCAACTACAAATACATGTAAAGTCAAAACTGCATCTATGATGCTTCTAAGAAGCTTTTCTAAAAGATATTATGAAATTAATCTTCATTTATTTACTTCTACTTAATCATATAGATAATTATTAGACTAAATATGTATGTCCGTGATAGCAACATGATGTCAACTTGTTGGCCATATTTTCAATCTACCAATCAACTATAAATATATCTAAAATCAAACTTCTACATTTATAAAGCCCAAATCACAAGGCTATAAATGGCACCAAGATCAAAAGGAAACACCCAAAGCTGCACAGAAAACTGCCGCAAGAGGTATCAAGAATGGTGAGCCACTCACAATCACAGGAATCCCATTATATGCATACATCTGAGGGTTTGGGTAGCAGGAATAGGTCTACACAAAACAAGCCCTAAGCACAGGCAGCACCATGTGGATGGATGTCTGGAAGCAGCTGGTCTGAATATCCCTACCCCTAATACGAGCTCATGGGGTTTTGCGAAATCGCTCACCTTTCCCTTTGCAGCCATCCACCAAGCAAAGTCTAGAAGAAAGGATGTAAACTGCCAGATGCATCCTTCTCAGATTGCAATATCCCGTAATACAACGTGGCAAAAATACCTTGATACCGAATATGGTACAAGTGTTTTGATTATCTAACAAGTCTACTACCACGGGATCAACATGGACATTTCATAGCATCCACGCTTCCAAATTCTTTTCTACTGCACAAATCTCTATTAATATGACTAACCCAAGCAGGAAAACACCCAGAATATCCGCTTGCATGACTCGAGCCTGCGTCAACAGATCTCTAATCACTGAAGAGTCGAATTGCGTAATTGATGCTCCAGTATAGGCTTAACCTCCTGGTTCTGCATTAAAACTCTAAATAGATCTCGTGAAATACTCTTGATATCATGATCACTTGATCTGCAGCAAGTCAGTTAAGAAAAGTTTAATAAGCCGTTTACAAAATTGTTGACCAAGGTTGACATAATAAAACTCAAGATCAAAGATGAAGTTCGTGAAAGGTGCATACTTCATGAGAGCCATCAGCGTGTCGACAGTTCCTTCTACGGATGCGAGCTGCACTTGTGCTTCAGAACTGCACATAAAATAGCAAACACAGGATGTAGATCAGCTTGAAATACCAAAGATGTGGAGTGGTGGGTTCAGAAGTTGGTTCAGTTAAAGAATAGGTAGAAAATTGCAGGAGTTATGCATAAAGTAGTCTTTTTAGGTAATTTCATTGGTCTGATTCATAAATGCATTCAACAAACATTAGGAATTACGAAAGGAAGTATTTCTGATACCTGGATCCACATAACATGCCAAGACCTAGTAATCCACGCACGCAGATCTCAGCTGAAGCTCCCTGGATGACCTTTGCTAACTGTTCAACTGCCCCCTGTTCACTTCCTCATTAGTGGCTCTCAAAACAAGCGGGACAATTGTACTATTGTAGAAGTAGGTCGTGAATATTTCCGGCTTTTCATTAGACACTGCTATAACGCAGCGCCAACCTGTCACCGCTCTAAGGATCTAGGCTACTCAAACTTCTCCATCCTTTCGATTAACGCAGCACGAGATAGAACTTGAATTATTACCTTGAGAAACAGACTGTTACGTATGTCAGGATGAGAAGACAAAGCACAGAGTGCATCTACAATTTCCTCTTTCACATTGGCTGCGTGACAACGTTATTGTAGTCAGAATGCTGAGGCAATGAAGAAATGATTCAAATTAGTGGCAACTGCAATCAGGACTCGAGTTCAGAATTGATGGCTTGTGAGGAGCAAAACTATGAATTACAGAGCGAATTCGTCGAAAGCAATTGACAACTAGCTTAATAAAAACCATCAAGCTGGATTTAGAGCAAACGATCACCATCACTGGCACTACACAAACTGGAGATGATAGCATTCTCAGCGTCAGCTTCTTGCAAAACCAATAAGCCTTCCACACTGCACAACATTCAAGAATACTCGTTTGGATCAGTGTAGAGGATGCAGATATGATTTTATACCAGAGATTTCAAGCATATTCTGCTGGAATATGCTTAGAGGTATAGATGCTAAGTAACATGCTGATTAAATGAAACGCTTATGAAGAGCTATTCAATCAAAGATCAAAACTTATACTGTCACTTTAAAATAGAAAAGATTCTTAAAATGCCTCCAAACCAGTTTGGATTTTGAAGCGCAAACATATTACAAAAACAATAGAACTGCAAATGCAAAGGTGATGACAATAGAACAGAAAGTACCTCTGCGCTAGTACGCTTATGCCTGCTGCTGCATTAAGTTGAAGACCTTCATCAAAAGGGCTTTCACCATCTCCTTTTAGGCACTGCACTAATCCCTCACCCTTCCCCACACATTCCAAACATAAAGATCAGAGATTCTTTCGGACCGTTGTTGGTTTGAAAATTTTCAATACAAACATTCGTTGGTTCAAACAACGAAGTAGAGTCACTAAACTCACCAGCATCGGCGTCTTCGCAGCTGCCAGATAAAGAGAGGGATCGGCAGTCATGATGGAGGTCAACGCTGCACATGCATTCCTCTACGCAAAAACAACCGCAGTTTCCTTATATTAAGTAGTAAACTGCAACCGTGTAGTCGTACATGACACAGAACAAAATGAAAGAGCAAGCCTTACAAAAGCTGCGTGCTGAGTGGGTATAAACATGTCAAACTGTGAGTGATTTCCACGAGGAGACAGAGATAAGAAGGGATTTGGCAGGATTTCAACGTGAAGAAATCAGAGAAACATAAAAGGGTTTAGAATGCGTCGGTCTGCAACGCACCTGCACGTGAACAGAAAGAGATATGTCCTGTAAAAGCGGAACTAAGTGTGGTATCTGTGCGAAATCAAACCAGTACGAAGTCAACTAAAAATTATATGCAGTCAGCTTCACAATATCCAAAAAATTACCAATCCAATTTGGACGACCTTAAGAAATGATGTCATATGCATAGCTCATAGAAATACGAAAGTGGGAATGCTTACAGCCGCTTCAAGTGAAGGTACTGCATCAGGCAAGGTAGCCAGCATAACAATCGATGCTGCAGCTTTGGCCATCACCAGGTGATCCTGCTACACCAAAAGGTCGTTTTAAGCTGCAAAACTTATGCGGTAAGCGAAGTTGATCCACAACTACAGAGTATATTATTTGCAACTATAATAATATAAACTCGCAGCTGCAAACTTCTTTCTCTGGGAAGGTGCTGAATTAAAAATAAAAGGTGTAAACAACTTCGAATTGGACTAAGAAGCGAATCTGGTGGATAGCGGCATACGTAAGAATATGTGACGCATTACTACATACCCCAGTCTCCAAATTAGCTATCTCCTTCTGGATTTCTTGACGGACATCTTTAGCTGCAGAAAATTTTTGAAAAACGTCACTTACTACTGGTGCCACCAAAGACTCCAAATGCAATGCGTAAAAAACTCAAATGCAACATTTTACTATAATATTCAGTCTCGTCACTCCAAGAATGGCCTAATTTTTCTACTATTCCAGACAATTGGATATCACGTTCGTTTTCAGAGACACAATCCTCTGTGATGAAGAGATACAGATTTGCTAGCAAGGAATTCATGATATATACAGCTCAGGCTAAAAGATAAACAAGCTATCCAACTATATTCCCCACAGTTCAGTTAATGATTTTGAATAGAAAGTCTGAGACTTAATCAAGCACAAGAGGGTGATATTCACATATGTAAATTCAACAGACACACTCCACATTTGTAAATTGAGTCAACCAGCAAATCCACAGCCCCAGATTCACTGCAAAGACACACTAATCCAAGAGCATGAAGGAACTTACGAGGAGCAGGAGTCGCATTAGAAGGAGCAGAATGCGTAGAAGCTGCAGCAGGTGGCCGCGGCGCTGCAGAGATTGGCGCTACTGGCATTGCCGCTGTCATAGCTAGCACGGAGAAGATAGGCAGATAAAAGGAAACAAATCGCGGTCGAAGCTAGACGCACAACACTGCCGCGACGAATATTCTCAAACTAGTAAAACTTCACACACCCTTCCTTAAGGACACTTAGCAACCTAACCATACAACAAAAAAATGTAGGCCAACCTTCACAATAAAATGTCCAAAAATCTCCAAAAATGCTAACGAAAATGTGTAAAGAGAAAGCAGATTCCTAACTGCAGCGAGAAACAGAAGTGATCTAGCATAGCTTAAAAAAATTCGGGAGAAACCGTCCAAATAGAACCGACTCAACACAATCTATACTCCCATTCGAAGCAGTTCAAATAGTATTCAATAGAGACAAATCGCTGACTGCTTTGGATAAAGGTGCAGTGACTCCTGGGAAGCAATCGTGTTTATTGGAATTTAGGGCAGAAGGTCCATTTCCACGGATTCATGACATGATTTCACCTATGACCGCCACGGTAACGCCTAAATCCATTTTCAGTAATTGATGTGTCCTATGAGCGTGCCATAGGGAGGACTCGGTAGTAAGGTGAGCAGGGAATTGGGAGGCTGGAAATTGTTTCTAGCAGCTGAGTAAATGACAACTGTTTATTGTGTTAACCTGAATATCACATCATATTAAGAAATTTCAAGGATTCATGAATGTGTTGACTTGATGGATACCTGAGGATTGATTCAAGTATTAAAAATGGAATAAAAACGATAGAAAAATGTTTAGTATTTGGTCGAGAAAACAAACTTCCAAACAAAGTTTCATGTATTTCTTTTAGTTCTGAGGGTATCTACGCGTTTAGAATACCATTTGGCACTGCAACTGCAGGGTTACAATTACAAGTCCGCTCTGTGCATGATCGGTTGTCAGGTGTCTCTGATCAGTGGGAATACATTTCTCCAGTACGGAACATACTAAATCAAAAGTAATCAGAGTATCGTCGAGCCATATGAGTCAAAAATTAATATGGAACTGCATAAAATAGTACAATGTAAGTGAGAACAGCACAAACCAGAAAAACAAAAGACCATGTCATCACGGTTGCATAGCCATCAAAACAAGGAAATATAGAGGTTCAGCAACATAGGGAAGAGATTTCCCAGAAATAAATTGATGTCAAAAAATAAGTTATCACTTCTAGGCCACAGAGCCGTGGATCAAGGTTCTTCAAACAGACTTGAATGTAAACTTTGTTCTCTGGGGCATGGGCACTAAAACTGCCATACTAAAGAGAATTGTATAGCTACTTTTTACATAAGACATACTTTTGATAAAAGACGGGAAGGGAGGACCCATCAAGTGGGTACGAGAAAGTAATCCGGTGGGCTTTGCAGTGACCTTGCAAGGACCATGCTGATAGGGACAGCAATTACGACGCATAGGGAACCCCTTAGAACTAATTCAGCAATAGATGAAATTCTTGCGCAACCGCTCCTTGCACAACGCACCAATGCTGTGTTGCTCCACCACCTACCTGATACATCTTCATCTTCCCAGACTTCATTTTCACCTACACAGGCCTCGCTGCCTTGGCTGATGTTCGTCGAGATAACAACTTCCTGCTCAAGTGACATACTCCTTTTCGCCTCGTTAGGTTGATCATCTGTAGTCCGGCTCACATCCAGGTCTAGGTCCCATTCTTGTGCTTTCTGTGCAGACCATTTGCGCTGAGACTCTGTGAGTGACGCGCAAGCCATATTGGTGTTAACGCTACCAGCTGATGTTCCAAGCGATCTTGTGATCTGGTGGCGTAGATCATCATCCTCCACTTGGACGCGTGATTGTTCGACAAGCTCAGGGAATTTAGAATGCTCTGAGTCACTAGACAAAGAAGAGTCTGCATTCTTTCCAGGAGATGCAGCAGTGATATTATGGACCTTCCTAGGTAAGGCGAAGGTCTCATGGATCTCCGTATGCCGTTCTTCAACTTCTTCTTCACTACTCTCCTCCGTGGCAGACTCGTCAGACGCAATAGGATTGTCTCTTACACTCCAACCTGAGTCACTAGAGCTTTCAACATCCATGTCTGCATCGTCATTGAAGTCGATCCTCTTACCTGTTCCATCGGCAATCCTTCTTACACCTTCGCTATTGACGTCAGTCGTCTTATCCATCCCGTCGTCAATCCCTCGAACATCCTCTTGACCCACTTCATCGCCCGGGCTTGACAATTGCGACTGCAGTGACAGTACTAATCGCCGCGGAGTGGTGTATGGCAAAAAATCCGCTGTGGTGATCAGGACTCTTGGCTTCTGCAAGACACGAAATAGTTTAAACAATTTTTACGATCTGAACTCTTTCGACGTGAACTCGGATCAAACTGTAAAACCTCTGCCGTAAGAAGTTTACTTAAAAGAAATACCAGGTACTACTGCAAGTGACCCCATAACCAGTTTAAGTGTCTGAAAAGAAAGCACAGAGTTATCGTGAACTAATTACCAGGGCACTATATCCGTCTTCTGGGTTGCTGGAAAAGTCATCAAGTTTCATGTACTGTGCATGAGAAACCCCTTCGTTCAGGTCATAGGCATTGGGGTGTCCAGTGGTTAATCCTTGTGAAAAACCCGTGTGGGATATCTGTTTATGCTCCAACAAATCAACAACCTTCCCAGTCATGGTATTCCTGCCGCAGCCCTTGATGTCGAGTGCTGCAGAGCTATTAGCGTCAGAGTAGCCACTTTGCATGCCTTTGTGTGAAACTATGTTGCTTTGTACACTATCTGCAATAAACTCAGGTGTCTCGGGATCTGGCCTAAAAAGCCCCATTGAAGTCGGCAATCTTGAATTGCATCGGGAGCGTGCCTCACTCTTGCCACACAATTCCCCATCTAACTCAGCTGAATTTCTGTACAGAATCTCCTCACCCTCTGCCATGAGGTCTCCTTCCGCCTCTCCAAATGATCGGGTGATGAGTGTCTCAAAGGGACTGAAACGAGATTCAATTTTCCCCTTAGGGTGATCCCGTTTGATAGTCGCTGGAGTAAACTCATTATCGTCGAGAGGTGCTTTCTCAATCCGTTGGTTTCCTCCTGAAGCTTTGTCACCTACCAGTTTGTCATAGAAAGGTGGGGCAGGTACATGATACGCTGACATGCATTTACGAGATACTGGGGTAGCACCATCTAGAACTGAAGAAGGTACATTCTCCTTACCCGCTGAACAAATAAACAAGCCGTCAAGTTATATTCAAGTCCTCAGATAGTTATCAAAGCAAAGGTGACAATAGGACAGCAACAAGGAATGAACTGAAACTTACAGAATGTAACGTGATTGTTGTTCACTCCCACAGCGAAGGGCGGGGCTGGTGAGCGAGGAGCATGGTCATCAAACTTCGTCGGAAACATAAGGGGGCGCTTCATCCTGCCAGTGGAATCAGTATGAGAGGTCAAAGAAGGGGCAGAGGCTGCAGAGTCGCAAGCATCAGGGGGAGGCGTGTAAGATGACAGGTTGTACGTATCCTGCGAGCTTGGGCTATAATTATTTGAACTCCAATTTCTTCGCTGGGGTGTCTCCTTGGTAGAATCAAAAGATTTGGAACCCCGGTAATCCCCATGATCTTCTTCCTTGACGGCCTCCCCATTCATGAGCATTTTGGCGGTTTGCAGAGCTTCCCAAACTGCAGTGCGGACGTGAGGAATTCTGTCGTGCTTACAATTCTCTAAAACCTGAAATCCACAACGAAAGGGCATTGCAGGTCAGTTCCAAAATGCGAATTTTTTGAAGTAAAGTTCAGCGAAGGAGATAGAGACGCTACTAATGCACGTAGTAACGCCCCGAGCAGCGCCGAGGGTCTGAAAATAGCATTGTCTTTCATCGTTGTTGACGCGGGTAGCGTCCTCGTCTTACAAAGGAGATCACATTACTTAAGGGGAGATTTAAGTGAAAGGCGAATCGCGATTCAGACCCGCGTCAGACTCGGTACGATTGTCATGTTACAAATGCTATTTGAAAAGCCACACCTGATCAAAAACGGCATAAAACGTAATGAATCAATAAATTCGGGGAGTCAAAGCTACCTACACTTCATTCAGCTGGAAGGAACACCAACCTGAGTTATTGAGTGGAATTCCAAGGCTAGGGTCTCTCGGTCAACGATGGCTAAGACGGCCTGCGCCATCTTTGCCGCACACTTTCGTTGCTGCCAAGAATAAGTACTGACACTTAAAACCTCTTCCGCAGCATGAAGCAAGCAAGCTCCGTACACATTCAGGGTTCCAGGATTCATGGTCGCTAACGAACGCGCAAGCTGCATGTGGGCGACTGTCCGAGTAGATTTGTCACCCAAGGCTGTAGTGGTCCGGTGGCAAACCTCGCTGACTAAGTCGGCCGGGGCATGCTTCCACTTCTCAGACTCTACCAATGCTTGCATACATGTTGCCGACCCCGCTGCTACGTGCTCCAGCTTGCCTACATCACCCGAAGCGACTTCAATGTTTCACATCCAAGTCATCCAAATCATATAGTGTTAATAGAGAACATTTCCACAGATTATTTCGTTGTAATGCTAAATTAAGACTACTCTTTCGAACGCTACGAGACCAAATGAGCTAGCCGAAATTTACCTGCTAGAAGGTCCACTAAGGGTCGGGACACCTCCTTCAGGATTTCCTCAGCCTCTGCTTCACTAGTATCCGGATCTATTGTATATCGAATGAGTGCAGCAGCCACTTTGGCGCAAGCTTGGTGCAGCTGTGGTGAACTCCCACTTGCAGATAAGGACCGAGTCAAGGTTGTCATAACCTTGCCAAATTGCGGAATGATGAGCTTCCCGTGCACGCGTGCAACTTCTTCATACAGTGATATGGCGTACGACCGCGAGCCTCCGGTGTCCTTGGACTCAGACACCTATCATTCAAACCCTAAAATTTCAGACAAGCCTCATTGCACTAGCACACTTTACTTGGCTGCAATTTCGATTACCTTTGCGCAAATTATAAATTGATAATAAGGAGGTACACCTAGAAAAAACGTTGAATCTAAACGAGTGACTAATGCAGAGCGATTGTTCTACTACAACTGTGCAGACGAATGGATGCGTTCACTTCGACCAACCCGTTCCAAACATTGTGGATTCTACAGGACATACAGATTACGATAAAAAAAATCATGCGAGTCATTTCGCTACTTGTTATAAACATCATTTAAGGCAGCGGAAATGGAGTATACACATTGGCCTCGAAGCTTTCGCCTCCTATTTCTAAAGAATGTGAAAATAATTGCACAGAGATCGGTAGTGTGACATTATAATGGATGACAATGAATGCAAGGTTAACAATAGGGCGTACCTGGGCCAGGAACCGAGGGACAGAACCAGGATCCAAATTCTCCACGTATTGTTTCAGCGCGAACAAGGCCACACGGCGACTGTCTCCGTCTTTATCAAGTCTGGCAAGATCCTGCCTCACCAGGGGACTCATGTACCCAGCGGTACACTCTTCTGCCCTCATCGTGACGGCTAGGAAGACGATGCAATGAAACACACACTTGATACCTCACTACGAACAAAACCCGGTCTCGAGGCACATTAAAGCATAAATTCTCCTAAGCATTCAAGTTTTATAACCTCGAAGCTGCACAAGCCAACCCCAATGTACACCTCCCTTACTTCACCATTTGAGCTAAACGGCAGTGCAGCACGAAGCGAATATGGATAGAGCTATCTAAGCGTACACTATCAAGGAGAGCAGCGATACCGAGGTGCAACTCGTTGCTTTTAGAGACAACTCTTACACCAAATCATCAACCCACACCCGGAAACAATCCCCAAGGAACAAATGCAGTCGCATCTTACGACACAAACTTTGCCGGCTCTAAGCAAACAACTCCCAGAGCTTAACCGCGGCGCACCACCCGCGCATACATTAGAGCGACAGAAAGAGGGGGAGAAGGAATGGAGTAGGCGAGGAGCCGTTGGGGAACGAAACCAAAACCAATCAGGAATGCGGAAAAATTGAATGGAAGAAAGTTGCGAAATACAGTGGAAAAAAGAGCGGAGGAGAGTAAATCGAACCGTGGAATCAAGAAAGAAGATGAACCGTTAAAAACGATGCATCGGAGAGGAGAAGATGCAGTAAAAAAGAAACGGCGGGGAGACTCGCCATATCCAGCAGAGGGTTTGACGATACGAGCAGGGCCAGTGACGAGAAGGACGAAGGCCCTCGACAACACGGTCCTCGTATACAGAAGCGTATGGTGATGTCGTATACGGATTTTAAAATAGCTGGGTCCATTACTTGCACCCCTGTCACAACTGAAAAGACATCGTTTAACTTTGTGTACAAGATCGACAGAATGATAAGCATGTCCATCTTCAGTCTCATTGGCTCAGGTTATCGAAGTTCAAATAAGCCAGAGATGTTGCAAAAAACACCATACATATCTAACAAAATAGTGCAATAGAATTAAGGAGTTGTTAAAGCCACACCCCAATTTTATTAACGCCACACCCCCTTGCCATCTCATGATTCATTTAGTCCCTAACCCTTGTCCTTGTCCCCCCATTTCCATTCCTAAACCCCATCTCTACTTTGTCCCATCCCTGTTTTTATTACAGCAATTACTAATGTACAATAATCTTTTTGGTACATTGTACAACTTATTTATCATTTTGTTTGTTCATAAAACTCAAATTTTCTAAATAAAACTTAAAAATGTTGCTTGTATTGAAGAAGAACAACTTGAGTAGGTTGGTCCATAGAAAACTTATATAATGAATCTTCATTATTGTTCTCAATTTTATTGAAGCAACTCTCTCTTTCTCTCTCTCTCTCTCTCTCTCTTTCTCTCTCTCTATGTATATATATATATGAATTAATATTGTGTATAAGATTTTAATATTTAGACTCCAAAAATTATAATTTAATTAGAAGAAACTTTTGAAGACCTATATTAAATGCTTTCTTTTCAAGTTATATTCCAAATCCAAAATAATTGGTTGAACTAATTTTTAATGAATTTTTAATAACTTCTTAGTTGAATAGTTTTCTTTCATGTGGATAAAGTGTTTATTACTAAAAAAAACTATATGAAAAAGTCTCAAATTGTTAGGGACATAGTCTTTAGAACTTTCTAGAGACAAGTTTCTAGAACCTTCTAGAAGCAAGTCTTTGGAACCATCTAGAAGCTTCCTAGTTGGTGGAAGTTACTTGAGAAGTTTCTTAAATAGGAGTATATATTGGAATCAAGGCTGAAGAGTTCTTCAGTCTCGACAATACATCTCTTGGAGCTCTAGCTCACCTCTCTGGTATTGTTCTTGTATTCATCTGATTAATCTAGTTCTTATTAGTTCTTCTTGAACTTCTTGTTAGATCTCGAGCTTGTATTTCTATGACCGTGACAATTTCTGTGTCTATGATAGTTTGTGTGTGAATGAACTCACCTCAGATATTAGAGCTAGTTTCTTCCTCATTAGAGTGTGGATTATCCCTCTACTTCAAGGTGTACTAGCATTTTAGAGGTTGCGGATTACCCTCCTCTAAACTGATACTTCTTTTGTTACAATATTGAAGTCTTATTCTTCTTGGAGAGAGTGGATTACCCTCCTCTAAACTGATACTTCTTTTGTTACAATATTGGAGTCTTATTCTTCTTGGAGAAAGTGGATTACCCCTTTTCTTGAAGCTCTTAAGGCGTTTTAGAGGTTGCGGAGTACCCTCCTCTAAACCAATATTGTCTTCTTGTAGAGTCATTTTTGTCCTTCTCTTAGAATGGCCGGAGGCCAAGACATTAGTATGACGAAAAGTTCGGAGTCCAAGTTGGATGCTATCATGAATGCCCTTGCTCTGTTATCACAAAGAACTATAGAGATTGAAGGAGTCATGATAAGGCTTCATAATGATGGAGCATTTGGGATGGCACAATCTAAGTTGTACCAGCCTCAAACTTCTGCACTTGGAGAAGCAACTTTGCCTCAGGTTTGACAAGCACCACTGGTTCTACAACATAAAGAGCCCTGAGTTAGCCTTCTAGACAAGTTTGATGGTACGCATTCCAAGTTTTGAGGATTCGTCAATTAAATCAGGTTGATAACAGTTTTACAGCCCGAACGCTATCCAATGAAGGAGTCACGTGTTGGGCTTGTTGGAACCTTACTTACAGGGCAAGTTCTATCATGGTTTGCTCTTTTGTTTGAGAAACGATCGTCGATACTAAACAACTTTGAAACCTTTTTGGAGGTGTTTGCGGAAGCATTTGGTGAACACGACAAGGTTTGATGGGCTACAACAAAGATTCGATCACTATGACAAGGAATGTACTCTACATCAGTCTATGCATCAAATTTTAGGCAATTAGCATGCGACATTAATTGGGACGAAGAAGCATTGATGAGTCAATTCTATTGGGATTTAAGGGACAATGTGAAGGATTTGTTGTTTACTCTTCCTGATCCGCGAACGCTCAAAGAAGCTATTAGCCAAGTTGTAAAGTACAATAATCACCTATTCCAACGTCGCTAAGACCAAGGCTCAAGACAACATACGGTTTGTCACGCCTCAACTATGTCGGCAAGCAGCATGAATTCACATTCAGAGGTAGAAGACATGCAAATTGATACGATACGTGTCAAATTCCTTACTTTAAAAGAAAAAAAGCGACATATGGAAGAAGGTCTATGCTTATATTATGGTGAAGAAGGCCACAAAGTTGGAAACTGCCTCAAGAAGCAAAATTGACGCATTGTCAAGACCAAGGGTGCGTTTGCTCAGGAAAACGAGGATACCCAGCCACAATAGGAACCGTGCGGCTGGACAGTGAAATATCGCAACAACAACCAAGTTCCTTTCTTTTCGCTCAACCTGCCCTTTGTTTTACAATCCTTTTATTTATTGGCCCTCAAAAACTGACAACCTTAGCATTATTAGATTCATGAGCATCTGCTTATTTCTTAGACGAAGAATTTGTGAAGCGTCATAAGATCCCTTTAGTACAAAAATCCAAACTTATTCACGTTGAGGTCATAAATGGGTGACCTTTATTGTCTGGTAGTGTCACCCATGAATCAAAACCTATAGAAGTAACGTTTAAGAGCTATAGTAGTCATATTATTTTTAATATTATTAGAACCACATCAAATCCTATTATTCTTGGTCTTTCTTGGTTGAAAAAGCATAATCCATCCATAGATTGGAGGTTGCGAAAGATGACCTTTCCCACAAAACCATCCAAGAGCAAGCTTAGTAGAAAATCCCGAATAGAGAAATCTTTATTTATTGGAGCAAGAGCGTTTGTAAGATCGTCCAAGGAAGGCACACCATTTGTCATTTATATGGCTCCAACTACCAGAGAGAAGATCTCGACAGCAAATATACCAGAGCAATATAAAGATTTTAAAGACGTGTTTCAAAAGAAGAATGCTGACATGCTATCGGAATACCGACCATATGATTGTGCCATACACTTGCAAGAAGGAGCACAACCGCCTTTTGGCCCAATCTACAATCTATCGCAGACGGAGTTGGCGGAGTTGCGAAAGTACATTGATGAGAATCTAGCCAAGAACTTCATCCGTCATTCAAAATCGTCAGTTGGGGCACCCATCTTATTTGTGAAGAAGAAAGATGGCTCGTTGCAGATGTGCGTGGACTATCGAGGCCTCAACAAGATAACAAAGAAGAATCGTTACCCGTTACCCTTGATTTTTGGTCTCTTAGAACAACTTGGATGTGCAAGGATCTTTACAAAAATTGATCTAAGGGGAGCTTACAACCTTGTATTAATCAAGGAAGGAGATGAGTGGAAGACAGCGTTCCGTACAAGGTATGGCCATTTTGAGTATAATGTCATGCCCTTAGGTCTTACCAATGCTCCAATGATCTTTCAATATATGATGAATGATATTTTTTGAGAGCACCTTGACGATTTGGTTGTCATCTACTTGGATGATATTTTGATATTTTCCAAAAATGAGGAAGAGCATGAAAAGCATGTTCGTTTGATCTTGGACTATATGCCAAGTTAGAAAAGTATTTATTTTTCCAAATGGAGATGGAGTTTTTGGAGTTCGTTACGACTACGAAAGGCTTGAAGATGGATCCCAAGAAGGTAGAAGCAATCGTGTCTTGGGAGGTTCCGAAGACGGTTAGAGACGTATAATGCTTTCTTGGTTTTGCTAACTTCTATCGGATCTTCATCAAGAATTACTCTCAAGTTGTTGCTCCTCTCACTCGGTTGACATGCAAGGATAAGCTAGAATGGGGACCTCTAGTAGAGAAGGCGGTTCAAGACCTGAAGACGATATTTACTATAGCTCCAATCTTGGTACATCTAGACTTTACAAAGGCCTTCTATTTAGAAATTGATGCTTCGAATTTTACTTTGAAAGCTGTACTTTCACAAATGGGAGAAGACAAGAAGCTCCATCCGATTGCATTCTATTCTCAAAAGTTCTCTATTGCTGAAATCAATTATAAGATCCATGATAAAGAACTTCTTACTATAGTGGATTCTTTCCAAAAATAGCATCACTTTCTTGAAGGAGCTGCACACCCAGTGATCGTATACATGGATCACAAGAATTTGGAGTATTTCATGTCAGTTCGAGTTCTAAATCGATGTCAAGCTTGGTGGAGTATGTTGCTATCTAGGTTCGATTTTGTTATCACTTATCGACCTAGAAAGCAGCAAGGACTATCCGATGCCTTATCGAGGAGATCGTATCTTATACCCAAGGCTAGAGAAGCAGCGTTTGATCAACAATGTACGACGTTGTTGAAGCCAGAGCAATTTTGGCTTTGCGCTACTATTGTGCCAATTAATGCTGACTTCCTGAAGCAAGTATGTGCCGTGACCATTGAAGATTCAGTAGCCATTGATATCAAGCAGCGTGCCAATAACGACAAGTTCAAAGTGGAGGGAGATCTTTTATACTTTGAGGAGTGATTGTATATTCCAAAAGGTCCAACATGACTCCGAGTTTTTCAATCTCGCCACGATTTTCCAGTTGCCGGACATTTTGGATTCAACAAGACCTTGGAGCTTATTTCTCGAGATTTTTGGTGGCCCCAA